AAGGGGATTGTGGAACTCCTAGGTAAAATGTCAAAAGATATCCAAAATAGGAGGAACTTGGGACATTCATTTGACAGCTTTATAAAAAACAAAACAATTTCCTAAGGAATGATGCACTTTCAAAATTAGCTCAAGGAGAAAAGTATAAAAGCAGGAAAACAATGAGCAGTGTGGAGTGAAAATTTAGTTTTCGGCAAATTGCACCAAACCTTCAGGGACTAGGGATTGTCCAATTATATAAACTGTTCCAGGACAGAGAAAACATATATGCAGTTTACAAGGCTGGCCTAATTGTGATGCCTAAAACAAATAAAGGTAATAAAATGTTAAAATTATAGGCCTATCTAAATTTTGACATATGCAAGAAACCTTAAAAATCTGCTAACTAAATCTGCTAGTGGGACAAATCTACGCAAAAATTAAAAATAGTTATACATTAGGGAAAATCTATCAATGTAATTAGTATATTAACACATTCAAGAAAAAAAATGATCTTCTCAATATGATGCACCAGATACAGAAAACCTATCTGATAAAATTTGAAACTTATTTATAATTTTTTAAAAATCATTAACAAAATAGAACACAAAAAATATACAGCAGGAATACACAGCAAATATCATATCTGACTATTAATCATTTGAGGCATTTCCTATAAAAGCAAGAAAATGAAAAGGGCATCTACTATCATTACTACTATCCAAGAGTGTTCCAGACAACAGGAAGCAAAAATGTTGGGAAACAATAGATAAAACTCTAATTATTTTAAAAGAATATAATTTTCTTGAAAAATCCAAAATAATCAACTGAAAAACCATTAAGTATTACAACAAGATTCCACAAGCTAAGTCAACACGTAAAACCAATTAATAAATATCATGAAAAAAACTTTGACTTAAATAGAACAGAATCTTTAAAATATCTAGCAAAAAGCATAATATGTGTAATGATGACCTGAAAGAAAATGAACACTTTACTCAAGGGTATAAAAGAGAATTAGAGTGCATGTAAAAATATACTTATCCTTGAAAAGAAGATTCAATATTATAAAAATACCAATTCTTCTTACATAATCCCATAAATTAAATATAAGTCAACACTATATTAGCATTTTCTCCTTAGCACTGGCACACTAATTCTAAAATTGTTCTGGAAGCGAAACTGCGCAAAAATAGATAATATAATTTTTTAAATAGTGACTTTCATTTCCACACTTCAAAATATGCTAGAAAATTAAATAATTGAAACAATTTGGTATTGGCACAGGAATAATGCGTAGATTAATGGGATATATAGAGTCCAGAAACAGATCAGATATTTATGAAAACTGGTCATGTGATAAATGCAATAGGTCAGAGATGAAAAAATGTCCTCATTAAAGATGTTCCAGAAAATTGCCATTATGTCGGAAAAATGTCTAAAATGGAGCTACATATCACTCTTTACTCAACAAATGCATTCCAGATAGATTGTATATAAAGACATAAGTATAAAGAACAAAAAAGAAAGTGTTGCTATGAAAAAAATTAAGTTGAATTCTTTACAGATAATTGATAAATAGGAATCATTAAAAACTATTACTGCTAAATTAAATGTGGAAGAAACAAGTTTAAAAGATTAGAGCAATTCCTCATATCAGTGAGGTCATATGATACATGTCTTTCTCTGATTGACTTATTTCGCTCAGCATAATGCCCTCCAGTTCCATCCACGAGGAATTCTTAATCTCAGGAAACAAACTGAGGTTGCTGGAGTGGTGGGGTGTGAGAGGGATGGGGTGGCTTGGGGAGGGTATGTGCTATGGTGAGCGCTGTGAATTGTGTAAGACTGTTGAATCACAGACCTGTACCTCTGAAACAAATAATATATTATATGTTAAACAAAAAAAAAAAAAAAAAGAAGGAAAAGAAGACAGCAGGAGGGGAAGAATGAAGGGGGGGAAATCGGAGGGGGAGACGAACCATGAGAGACCATGGACTCTGAGAAACAAACTGAGGGTTCTAGAGGGGAGGGGGGTGGGGGGATGGATTAGCCTGCTGATGGGTATTAAAGAGGGCACGTACTGAATGGAGCACTGGGTGTTATACACAAACAATGAATCATGGAACACTACATCAAAAACTAATGATGTAATGTATGGTGATTAACATAATAATAAAAAATAAAAATAAAAGATTAGAGCAATAATTAAAAATCTAAACCAATTCCTTATTCAGGTTGTTCTTCAAGTCCAAGTACATGCTCTTATAAAGAAGGTGGAACTAGAAGTTAGAAATAATTACTTATAGGTTTGGTTTATGCCAGAAAGAAGTCATAAAATTGTAATCAACAGACCCTGCATCCTATATCAAAGGATTTCTTTAATCTGATATTAAAACTTAGGCGATTGAGAGTCTATTTAGATATTCTTAGTTAAAAAATGAAATGTTCTAAGATGTCTTTTTCATAATTCCCATCTCTAACTTTGTTTTATTTACACTTTTCTCGATCTCATCAGTTTAGTGATAAGAGAATATGGAACTATAATTGAAAATGGCCTCTAATTGGGCGATTGGAGGGCAATGAGAGAGAAATGAACTGAAGTCATATTTTGGCTCTAAGGCTTGAGAGTGTGATAAACACTGGGATTAAACTGAGGTTACAATGGAAAAGACTTAAGATACATATTATTTAAAAATTAGGTAACCACTGGATGTTAAAAATACATTTATGTCTCCCAAGCCTCTAAAGATAAAGAAGAGACTCAAAGAAGACTCAATCTCAACAAATGAAGGAAAATAATTAAAAAATCATAGTTAATATAAACCAACTATAACATAGCAAAAGGCATTGCTATGAGTGAGATAGTTTAAATTTTCTGATTATAAAACAGTCTCAGAAAATGAGTTAAAAAAAACTTAGCTGTAGGCTAGAGATATAGCTAAAATAAAATGATTTCATTTTTAACAGAAATATATATGTAATTGGCTACTTATTTTGACTTATGAAAGAAGTGCCATAAACTCCAAGAAATTGTTATTCTGGAAAAGAGAAAGAGGAGAATTTTTCTTACCTGTTTTATTTTTTACAGTTTACTACAATTCAAATGTTTTCCATGAGACTACATTCCTATAAAGTAAGTTTAAAAAAATGGAGAGATGAGTTATAGGGGAAAAAAGAGACTTGCAAAATCTGATAATTACCCAAAATCTGATAATTACTCAGATCTTGCCATACACACATACACACACACATCCATACAGAGAGTGGGGCAAAGATAAGGGAAGAATTAGATCCTACTTTTAGAAAGGGGTAGAATTGGCAGATTTAGTAAATGAAAATATATAGGCTGTCCAGTTAAATTTGAATTTCATAAAAACCCCAAATTTTTAAATTACATATAAAATATTACATGACACATACCCATACTAAAAAAAAATTATTCACTATTATCTGAAATTCATATTTATCGGCCATCTTCTATTTTATCTGGAAGCCCTAGTAAGGGGCATACATACAGGTGGGTGAAGTAAAAAGTGAGTTCAAGAAAGTAGTAATGCTATCCAAGACTGAAGTCACTAGACTGGGGTCCATTGTCCAGACTTCAACACACTGAGGAAAGGAAATTTTGATAGCAAGGTGGGCCACTACTCTTAAGCTGGTTCCCTGAATAGGAATAGGAAAACAGGACTCTAAGCATGGAAAGAGGATTTAGGGTTGGGTGTGAAAGGAGAGGAACCTGAATCCATGTGAGAATATGGAGAATGCCTTTGGAGCAGAACTTGGGTGATGAGGAAAACAGGAGCTCAAGGAATACACGTGCCATGCTTTATGTTTAGCCGAGCAACAGAAAGAACTCAAGGAGCAATCCAGAGCTCGTGGAGAGCACTGAGACAGGAATCGAATAGGAGGAAGGGACAGAGGATGCAGAACACATGTTGTGAATACTAACATTCACCATTTTGACAAGGGGATAGGTGTTGAGTTTTCTTAAAAAAAATAGCAATTGTCAAAATAAGAACATTTACAGAAAATTTAGTAGCTATCAGAGAGTAATGCTTTATTTTTCTGCCATTGTTGAAAATAAGTGGTCCAAAATATTAGGTGAATTTTCCAGATAAATGAATATATCACCTTAAGGGCCTCAGATGTTTTAACATATAAGGTTTTTTTCTCTTCTGAAACCCTTCATATATTTAACTAAGATCTTTAAACAAAGTACATTAACAAATTCATCCTTTTTAAAGAGTCTTACAGAGGGAGAGAAGGAAGGAAGGAAGGAAGGAAGGAAGGAAGGAAGGAAGGAAGGAA